CTTTACTTATTTGTGTTAATAACCATCAAGGCGATGAACTGTTTAGCGTTCAAAGTGATGTGCTTTAATTATGAGTTTATTGCTATGTGCCAAGCCAGCCAAGACCATGAGTTTATATAGTGTTCAGTTTGTAGATGTTTTATTACTTTTATATAGTTTGAAAATAAACGCGGAATGTTGTTTAATCAGGCTTACTGTAATACGATTCCTAGACCAACCCAATGTGGATTGTTGTCTGCACCTCGGTCTGCACATATTGTTGTCTGCACCTCGGTCTGCACATAATATATAATACCAGCAATTTAATACATATAATAGTATGTCAACTGACTTTTGTATAAGACATGACTTTTGTATAAGACGTGACTTTTGTATAAGACATGTCTGTTTATATCTATTATATATCTTTGAGGCCTCTGAGATATGTCCATTGTTAGCAAAATATGAAATAATCCTGCGCGGTCCCTAATTCTATAATATGGGAAATTTTGTATTTAGCCTTTTTATGCAACTAGTAAAGTATTCAAAAGCGCAAAGAAAACGTTTTTGGACTCGCGCGAACTTTTCACCTTGTGAAAAATCACCTCATAAGCATTCAGTTTTTTCATCACGAATTTGATGGGTTGGTCAGACTGTTCGGAAAAACTTGGTCAAAATATCAGGACACCCCAGCCCCCCCCCATCGTGCCACGACTTCGCGACATCCCTGCCTCACACACCCTCAACCTGCGCCGCCTAATTTTATGCTAATGTGATGCGCGGCTCCTCATTTCATGCTGCCCCTTGTGGCATGCGGGCCCTCATGCGGCTGCCCTTGTGGCCCCTCAGAAACCATGCTCGAAAACTACCTACTCCCACATTACTTTTTCTTATAGCTCGCACGATCTTAGCCTCTATAGGTATCTCAATATAGGGGTTACCTAAGCAGAGCTGAGTGATCCCTATACATATATACTGATCCGTCTGTATAATATATAAAATTAGGCCAATAATTTAAGAACATTATCATACGTTAAAATCATGAATATGTCTTTCCAGGAGTCCATTCGTCTTGGTTTAGCTGCCGGGTGCAACAGAGCAGCGGTAACAATCACCAATCGTTACATCGGTTCCTTGTACAGGAAACTTGGATTTGAAACTGTCAGCGTTTTGGATCTTACAAAGTTGGAACCGAAATATAAAGGACGTCTGAATTTTGATAATATGAATGGCAACTCTACAATATGTGCTATGATTAAACAGGGTCTGCCATAGGCGAACGGGAGGTAGCTGTATTTGCCCGTGTTACTAAAATATTTTTTTCATAGGGGGAGGGCGTTGGAAAGAATTCGTCGAAAGCCTTATTAACATGTTTTGTAACATTTTTCCACATATATAGTCAGCTGTTATTCACCACGCCATTATGCAACAATGATTAGCTAAATACTATAACTACTCATCGTTGGTTGTAAAGATTTGATAAATTCAAATACATGCAATTGCGTGCGGCAGAAACGATTTAGTTTTAGAAAACGCTGATCGCCGAAGTTAAGCCTGATCGGGCGAAGTTAGTACTTGGATGGGTGACCGCATGGGATACTTCGTGTTGTAGGCTTTCACTTTTGCTCGGCCGCGTCGTGTTGGGACCGCATTATTGTATTGCGACCACAATAAAAACTGTCAGATACGTGACTATACTTGACCGTTCAGTAACTACACAGAATTATTGGGGTACCGGAAAAAAATATCGAAATCTAGAGTCTCGATCTGAAATGGCATTTCCTCCGTTTTCGGGAAGATTTCAAATGACTACCTCAACGATTGAAACTGATCCTGACTACCAACAACAACTGTTTTCAGCCATCAATCGCTGTCAAAAAATCAACTCGTCTCTTTTATATGGGCTGTTGGGATGGTTTGAATTTTTAAATTAGCGCTACGACTCGATGGAGCACTCAGATCTATCCACCTGACTATCTATTCACCTGACTTTTTGAAGTATTAAGTTTTATATTTAGATTCAAGTTTGGTTTTGTAATTCAGATAATTCATGCAATTCGATAATTCGGTCCATATCCAAACAGCTCATTTTTTGCCGAATTAACGCAACAATTTGCCGACTCGTTCATGAATGGGGATGGGGTGTCCCCCCCCCCTACACCTCTAATCGCCGCCCCTGTGTGTCTGGGCCTTTACCTTTGGTAAATGTTACACGTTTATCTGTTTGTAATTGTCTCAGTGAGTGTCTCAGTTTACTCGTACTCGCGACTGTACAAAAAGCAGTATATATATATATATATATATATATATATATATATATATATATATATATATATATATATATATATATATATATATATATATATATATATATATATATATATATATATATATATATATATATATATATATATGAAATGAGATTTCGTCGAGTCATTTTTTGTCGACATCACAATTTACCGACTGCCCCCGCTATAAAATAATTTGAACTGCGCGTGTATTCGAAGTTGACCACCATGTGTTCCATGTGCGCGGAAAGGATTCATCGAGACCCACGCTCTCGAGTTTTGACATAATATTCAACGGAGTGGGCTAATGAACAATATTTACAGGAATTGACCCAGATGATCTTGATACGCGGAAAAGTACTGGCACTAGTTGTCAAATAGAAATCCATTTTATGATTAAAACAACTGAATATCTCCTGTAATATACTTTATTTCGATTCCATATTTTTGTCAGAGTTAGAGTTCTCATAACCAAACATAATTACAAAATTTCAACTAGTTTCATAAAGAATAACGAAACATATAATTGACTGAATACATCAAAATGGTTTCTATTCGGACAACCCTTTCTGAGCGCTGATTGGCTAAAATACGAACACGAGATCACCTGGACTGAGTCAACCTCGTACGCAGGCCTGCCCGCCCGATTTTTTAATAGTTTGTAATATATGGTTACAAAGAACTTACATGAAGTTTCTGTCGGATCGAATCAATATGGTTTCCAGAAATCATTGATTTGTTCTTGATCTTTTATCAAGATCTGGAATATGTTTTGGAAAGCTTTCGGAGCTCGTCAAGGTCTGATATTAATTGCTAAAGGTAAATGAAACTAAACTGTGATCTATCTATTGACTCTGTAGTACTATTTTATTGAAATAAAGTAATCTATCTGATAACGATTTAATTCGGCATTTCCAACAAGTGGCTCTTCATCCGTAAAAATATACACATATTAAATTTGTATGTAAATGTAGTAAATGAACTGGTGGCTAGTGAAGTCGGCAACTATTAATTAGAGAGAGAATTTCAGTCCGGCAGTCACTGTCAGGTATGTATTCATATTCTGGGCCTGCCAATAGTTCAGTGGTTACAATGTGTGGCTATGGTGTGCAGACCTGGAAATAATTCCAGCCTCTCTTGGATCCAGGCATGTAGTGAAGGGGGGGTGCTTGACCCCCTCAATGTTACGTCTGTCGGCAAAACATGGACTTCTGTCAGCAAATTCAATGTTTAGATATGATGTAGACAATGCTCGTTTGCACAAATTTCAAAGTACACTCAAATGTCGAGAATATCAAGAGAATTAAAAAAATGGCGATAAAAATGGTGATAAAATGTTAGGAAAATAAGCAAATTCCAACAAAATGTCAAGTTGGGAAAAAGGCACAAGATTGCTGACAAGATTATGAGAGGCACCCTTCCATATGGTAGAGGGCCCCCTATACTTTTTGTGTGAAGCGTGAAGGGCTTATTTTACTTAGCCGTGAAACGTGATCGGGCCCCCTATACTTTTTGTGTGAAGCGTGAAGGGCTTATTTTACTTAGCCGTGAAACGTGATCGATGATTTTCTTAATCCGTGACTCGTGAAAAGGCAAAATATTTTTACGTGAAAGCATATTGTGAAGAGGTATAGGTGGCCCTCTATGGTAATACGATCCACTCAGTTCAAAGTCTAATCTGATGAAAAACATTGTTTCTCTTCCTGAATTAAGTGATATGATGCAGAAGATATAATTGCCACTTACATAATTATATATGTGTAGGCTTATAATTTTATTTGTCTGTACAACTAATACAAGGGTTTTCTTCAGGTGGTTGATTTTTAATTACCTATATCTATGTCAATTTATTGTAATCTACTGCAGGGCCTTTTTTAAGGATTTTCCCGTGGGGGGGTATTTTTGGAAAAGGGACCTTTCTGTGAGACAATATACTACAGAGTGATATCAATGGCTGAAGGCCACGTGTGCGCCGAACATACCATGCACACATGAATGGGGGGTGTACTCCCGCAGAAAATTTTTGAAATTTGAAGCACGGAAATGCCATTTCCTGCATTCTGAGCATCCAAATGCGCTCCAAATTGTATACTAACTATACTTGTATTTGAAATAAAAGAAGGAAAAAACCCACAAAAAGTAAAAAAAAAAATTAACCATAATTTATCATTACTTATTAGAGGAGGATCCCAATGGTCATGTGTGTGGGGGTGTACTTCCCCAGAAAATTTTTGAAATTTGAAACATGGAAATGCCATTTTCTGCATTCTGAGCATCCAAATTTGCTCTAAAATTTATGCTAACTATACTTGTATTTGAAATAAAAGAAGGAAAAAATGCACAAAAAGTAAAAAAGAATATTAACCGTAATTTATCATTATATATATTTGGGGTGGGATACCGATGGCCGAAGGCCACATGTGTGGGGGCATAATCTCCAGAAAATTTTTCAAATTTGAAACCTGGAAATGCTCTTTCCTGCATTCTGAGCAACCAAGAAATAAAAAATTATTAACAATAATTTATCATTACTTAGTGGTTGAAAACGTAACAATTTAGATCGATTTTGTTAAACAAGGACAAAGGATAAAGCCTAAAACTTACTTTCCGTTTATTTATTCTTCGTATAAATTTAGGAAAAAGGGACTTTTCCTGGGGGGGCAAAATGTGATTTCGTGGGGGGGGGGCACAAGGGGGGACTGGGGGGGGCAAATGCCCCCCCAGCTTGTATGTTAAAAAAGGCCCTGATCTACTGCCTGGGCCGGCTACACTGGACTATGCAGTAGCCTATCAAATGTATCATGAATTGTGATTCAGCAAGTGTGGCGCGTTGAAAATGCTTACGTTCAAGTTTCACTTCCCTCCGCAGAGTCAGAGGCTTGTCATATTAGTTTTGGGAGTTCTCAGGCATTTTTATTAGTCTTACACGAAACAGGGACTGCATGTATTTCATTTCAAACAATCCTCTACAGTTCAATTCAACCCAATTCAATCAATGTATGCCATTACCACAATATTTCAACCTATATTTGTACTGTAAAATTAGGAACTGCATACAGACAATATACTTGAAATCCCAACGTCTAACCCAAAACACCAAAAAGTTATTTTCCTACTAATTTTTAAGGAGTGCCCTAAATTACGTCCTATTTTACAAACATGTGGTTTTCTCGAATGAGCTACAGCTAAATAACAGGATATTCTATAGACTATAATAGATAAATCTGATGCTATTCTGCAAAATTTGCAAATTAACTAGTGCTGTTCCCGATTAATTGATTATTTTTCCACAATCGATTACGCTAAACAGTAATCGGATAATCTATAACACCCCACAGCTTGATGCGGGAATGAGTTAATTTCTTTCCGGATTAAAAAAATTGCGACAAGATTGTGATTGAAACATTAAATGACAAATTGATTCAAAACGTTGTGGGTCAAATATCAATTTCACTTGCAGCATGCAAAGTTTACCATAGTCTGATTGAGTATGTACTTAAAACTTATTTTTATAAATTAGCTTTTTTATAATACGATTATTAACTTTTTATATATTTCATCAATTAGAGACAACTAGATTAGTAGAACCTTTTTGTAATATGTTTTACATATGATATTACTTTTATATTTTACTGTATGTAAAGCGCTTTAGAATATTTATATAATTTAAGCGCTATATAAATAACTGTTATTATTATTATTATTATTATGTTTACCAGTGCTGCAAGTTTTACAAGTTTTTTATTAGAAGAATTTATATAATACCATTTGTGTCCAACATTGCGGCGTGCGGACATAAACCAATTGTCGAAGGTAAATTAGTAAAGTAAACATCCTTAATATGCGGTCTCTCTCTTTTCATGCATGTCTCTTGTGTGAAGTGTAAGCGCGAGAACGTGCGTAATCTATAATTATGATTAATGTTTATTTTAAACGCAGATTTAAAACGTTTATACTGACTGGTGGTGCAACCCCCAAAAAATTTAGTAAAAAGTTTAATTACAATTTACAAACCTGTCAAACCACCATGGGCTTCTCATATTTAAATTAATTATCAATACGATAATCGATTGTTGACAACGATTAATCGTAAAACCGATGGGAGCAGCTCTAGAATTAACTATGACGCATAACCTTGTGGTTGGCGCGCCCACTAATAGATCCTGATAATAATGCTGGAATATTGGGTATATATATAGAAGTGGTAGGAGTTGTATTGAAGTTTTACCTTGCACCAGTAGTCATCATAGCATTTCAGTGTCGTTGCAAAACGATGGAAAAGAACCAACTGAAACGCAAGCGAAAGAGAACTAAACTCCGATGTCTGGTTTGCCAGCAAACGTTTGATGATGATTATCGAAAACAACATAACAAAAAGTACCATGCGAATTTACTAAAGGAGGGAACATCTATCGCGTAAGAGACGGTAGGAGCGCCAGCGAACCCATTCGTTTTCTCACAAAGGCATAAAAAGGGGAGTGATGCTTAGCTCGTTTAAAAAGATCTGGCAAATATTTATATAAACGGAATGCAGTTGTTCACATTCGTTCTAGTAACAAATCACATATTCATGGTTCATTAGGTATCTATACAGAATCTACGGTTACTGGTGATTTGAAAGCCGGACCTTCTTCTCATGAAACTGAAAACAGTGAACAGCCAAGTCAGAACACCCAAGGTCCATCGCATCTTACCATCTGTGTGAACAGTGAAAACCCGCATGGGTCAAAGAAGGTGTTCGATCGTGGCACAAATTTAAAAGTTGTGGTACAAAGAAGCAAAGAAATCTTGCAAAGCATTGTTCTTCCCAGGCCCACAATAGTGCACTCCTTTCCTATGCTCACTTCGCCAAAACCTCCGGACACATAGATGTCCTGTTGGATAAGGCAAGGCGTTCCGCCCTCATTCAAGAAGATCTTCAACAAAATAGGAGGGTAATTGAGATATTGTTGGATATAACCAAAACCCTTGGACGTCAAGGGATTGCATTTAATTCTGGGGTCATGGGAGTGACGATGACGGAAACTTCATGCAGATTGTAGCGTTAGTGGTAAAGTACTGTCCAGCACTTGTTGAACACCGGCACTGGTTGAACACGTCGAGGATGCGCCCTTATCACGTCACGTATTTAAGTGCTCAATCACAAATGAATTAATTGAACTCATTGGTCACGAGGTTCAACAGCGCATCGTCCAAGAGGTCAAGGATGCAGATATGTACTCGGTTATGGCAGATACGACAGAAGATGTATCACACAAAGATCGGCTTGCTATTACCTGTCGTTACGTGGATAAGATTGGTCAGCACAGAAAAATATCAAGCGGCTGCATCATTTGCTGAGAAATGTGATGCAGATGTTGACAGCGATCTACGATATCACCGTCAAAGAAATCCCTCAAGGCGAATCGATGACAAGCCCATGCAGTACAGCCGCAAATTTAGACGTGGAATCGTTCTATCGAAAATAATTTAAAGCTGTTTTAGATACGCAGATCAACACGTTTATGGTCAAACCTTTGAAGTTTTGGCGAAGTTCCGTCCCGACAAAGACAGACCAGATCCAGATGCTCTTGTGTCTCAAATAGAGACTTTTAAGTTGCACTTGGAAACGACACATGAAGATGCTAAAGATACTTCTAGCGCCGCCAAAAAAGCAGAGGAAATGAATATTCCCTTTTACCAACAGAGCTTTTCGTCTGGTGTTAACTGCCCCAGTGACTGTCGCCAAGCATGAAAGAACTTTTTGTATGTTAAAAACGGTAAAAAACTTGTGCAGATCAAGAACTAGCGAAGAGAGATTAGAAGAACTTATGTTCATAGCTTGTGAAAAAGGCATCACAGATGGAATACCTGTACAGATCCACGCTGTGGGCTGGTTTGAAATCAAGGCGAATTGGCATCGCTCCAGCGTAAATTGAACATATTTTAGTTACCTAAAGCCTACTCTTTGATTTTGTTTGTCTTTTAGTTGTTCAGAACAGTTACAATATTGTTACACCGTGTAAACAAAAAAAATTCTTAATAGATATTAAAAATTACATTGAAATATTATTGAAGAATATTTATCAAAAATTTAAGTTATTATCGTAAACACGGCCAAACCACGCCCCTGTCACGTTGCTGCCACGCCCACTTCGTCGGCAAAGGTGAGCCGTGGACCCCTCCAAGCACATAGCCTTCGCTACGCCCCTGCTTGGATCCTACGCTAAGGGGCAAATAATTTCTTCGAAATTTTTTTTCCATTTTCAAGGAAATTTCAAGAAAATCATTTTAGTGTATGATTGTATGATAAAGGAAATCCAATTTCAATGAGTTTTTAATATATGATCAAGGAAACCAAAGACTTGTTGAGGCCAGATATCTCGGATATGTCTTAATACTGGTCTAGTTTTTCTGGGTTTTCCCATTGTTACATTCTTGGAATCCAAAATATTTTCTTGGAACATTGTTCAGGATCCTCCTGTATGGTAGTGTGCAATATTGTGGGTTTGAGTCCTGCTGAACCCAGACTGCCTTATTTGCAAAAATGCACCCAGAAAATTTAGGATTTACCTATAATTGGCCTGAATTATATGACAGACGGATTATCTGTCAAGACACATTATTCTTCCAACAGATCATCAGTCTCAGTATAAACACAAGACAAACTATGAAACTATCCAGATGAACTAGCTGAAATAGCATGATCTATGCTGGTAAAATTAAGTCCTACGAACAAACCATGCTTGCAAAACTCAGTTGAAATGCTGAATACAAGTAAGGAAGTATTGGTTTTTCCCGATAGTTGGAACTTTAGATACTTATGCCTTATATACCATCACGTAAAAATTTGCCAAATATTCATTTTGTTATTCATTGATTTTAACCTTTCCGGGTGATTTACTTTTCAGGGCAGGTGCGCACCTCCCCACACCTCCCCTCAAAGTCCAGCCATGGCCTGTCTCAGTATCAATCGGACCGCTTAGCTTTTGAAATAAAAAATGCATGCTGATCAGGATCTTCCACACACCCAACCACAAACACAGTCTGGTGCTGAACCGGATTGGAAAGTTTGCAAAGTGCACAGATATAAAGGTTTGGCTACCATTTTGCACAGGTAACCTCGAAATATTGCTCAGGCAACTCTGTTTTTCTGGGCTAGGTGTACCTTTTTACTTTATTATTTTTGCACAAGTGAATATAACAAATCCTACAATTGGTCAAATTTTACGTATTAAGCTGTTATATTCACCTACAGGTGAATATAACAAAACCGAAATTTTCAAAATGGCGGCTAGCCGTTTTGTGGAAGTTACTGATAAAGAAATAAGCGAAATTAAAATAAATTCAGTCCCAAAAAAAACCCAAAAGACTTGTGTAAAAATACTAAAACAATTATTCGTCTCAGGCTCGGTGATTGTCGGGAAATATTCACCTCGACTTCGTCTCGGCGAATATTCCCCGATAATCACCTCGTCTTCGGCGAATAATTGTTAAATAATTTGTATTACCAAATATTACCAAAGTGCACAAGAAAGTGAACCTGTCTTGGAAGTGTGGAGCTGAGAATGTCTGAAAAGTGTGCAAGGGATCAATTGAAAATTTAGATCTTTATGCTTGAAGTGTAACTGTCTACGTAGTTTAGCGTCTCCACTATCTTGCTGTTATTGAAAATTTCAGCACTGAGCTAGCTACATGACAACTGCTCGTGCTATGCTTATATAGTCGTAAGCATGCATTGATTTGTTCAATTTCTTTTCAGCTAGTGCATGTTATTATCACAGCATGATCATGAGTTGCCGTAGCTAGCTAAATACTTAGTTGTATAAATGCATGAAGTTAGTTGTTAGTTTTTTTGCTATTTGATGTTAACGTATTGCTCTTGGGTTCGCAGTAATTGGCTAATCGTTGTTGCGAATACCCTGCCATATAGTCTATTTAGTTAATTCGTTAAATTATTACTTTGTAATAACTGTTAAAACTATCTGGCGAAGTTAATAAATTAAAATTAATTAAATTATTGCCCGCCTGCAACAGACCTCCAGTCTGGTTGCTGAAGCACTTCTTTCAGGAAATATTAAACTGTTTCTTTTCCTTCTAGCTTTAATTCTCTAGGGTCAGGGTAAGGGGGACATATTAGGGTGCGGCCCAATTGGTAAAGCATTTACACAACCGTTCATAACGCTCTGTGATCACGAGAGCAGAAATTACGCAAGATAACCCCTCCTATTATGCGTAAATCACAAAAAGTCTGTCCCAATTTTCTTTGAGACCATATATTACAAATCGGTCCCGATTTCCTCCTATACGAGTTATGAAAGTCGGTTCCAGATCATCCCCAAATCTCCCCCGCCATCAATTTGTTAAATGTGCGGCCCCTGTGGATATAAAGTTAGATTAAAGTTGGTAGGGTTTGAATCAGGATTAGGGTTAAGTGTTGGCAGGCCTGGAAAAATGTGGGACCTGGGATCCTAGATCCTGAGGAACCGTTGCCTTACCAACACAATTGAGGAACATTTACACAAACGGTATGTCATTTTACCATGCTTCCTTAATCTCTCATTTGAAACATGTAACATAAATACAGTCAAGTATACGTTGTTGATGCAGCTGTCATAAAGGTAGCCTACGGTGTAGACCCCAGCAGAAACACGTTTCGTATCACGAAACGTGTTTCTGCTGGGGTCTACACCGTAGGCTATCATAAAGGCGAAATGTATGGTCAAATTTTCCATTCCTTTTACGCACTTTTGAGGAACTTTTTAAAAAGGCAATTCAGGATCCGAGGAATATTTAAACACTTTTCCAGGTCTGAGTGTTAACTTCTTGGCCCCATAGATGTTGGATTAGGTTTATTTAATATTTTTATCCAACATTGTGCAACACTTGACATCACTGCATGAGTTTGTTAGCCTGGTTTCCATATGACACCGACAGTCGACAATTTTCAATGTCAGTGATTACTCATGAGTAAAGTCCTTTGTGTATCTGAAATAATTTTCTTCAACTAATGATTACCGACAGTGAGTCGTCGTCGGCGCCTGGTCGGTGTCACATGGAATAGGCCGTGGGCTGTTGGCCAAAATGATTTCGCTTCGTGGCACCCATGTGGGAAATACTTCGTTTGGGATTTATTTGAAAGGCATAAAGGTGCATCACTACCAAAAAAAAGTTCCCAAGCAAAAAGTTGCCCAATACCGAGAAAATGGGTGATCAATGATTATCGTCTATTAAATTGTATTACAGCAAAAAATGGGAAGTTTTATAATTTAATTACAATAAAAATGACTTGCATCATCGGAAAACGTACAAAAAACCGCATATAAGACTTTTAAACAGTTTTTTGATTTTTCAAATAGTCTTTCAGTTATTGCTGTTTTAAATGTGAAAATTGGACAAAAATGTCGCAATAAGGACTGGGTACTAGGTCGAAAACAATTTTAGATATAAAAAAAACTGTTTAAATGTCTTATATGTAAGTTTTTGTAAGCTTTCTGATGATGCAAGTTATTTTTGTTGTAATTGAATACAAAATTTCTCGGTGTTGGGCAAGTTTTTTGCTTGGGAACTTTTTGTGGTAATTAAGCATCTATGGTTCTATGAATTGAACGACAGAAAATCTATTTCCCAGGGGGTGCCACGAAATTGCTTTTCTAGGCACTTTTTCGCACAACAGCCCACGCCCTAGAAACCAGGTTTTAGTTTGTTTGGAATCATTTTCCTAACTGGAAAGTAACGAAATTTTGCCCCCAAAATTTGCAATTGGTGGAAAACAGAGAACATCAACACTGGACATCTTACTTGTATGAAAGTAATTTATTGAACTCCATCTTGTCATACAGGAGCAACAAATCAATTGCCCAGAAACAGAACAGTCTTCATTTCAAGAATGATGAGCACACAGGAATATAAATTTGAAACTCTCGAAGTAACTAAACCAAGAGATCATGTTTTCCAAGTGAATATCAATAGACCCGAGAAGCGAAATGCAATGAATCAAACATTTTGGAGGTAAGGCGTCCATTATGTCAAAATAGGGGTGGTGAACCAAAAATATCTTCTTACCCTCACAGTATTTTCTTGTCATCAAGGCTTTTCCCACCCTTTTTAAAAATATTTTTTCATAGTTGGGAGGCCGTATCTCCCCAAGTCCACTAGTCTGCCACCTACCAAATTAATACAAATGAGGGGACAATTGGTTCCATTTCCAGATTTGAATATGCAGCCACCATATATTAACTATAATAAAAGAGCAATTAATTTCAAGTGGCTGAAGCAATAGAAAACAACTCAATGCCATCCCTCATTTTTCATCGAATATAATTTAGAAATTTTAACTTGTCAGGTTTCCTCAAGAGGCCTAGCCGAAAAATTATTATACCCATTGAATGGGCCATTATTATTAAATATGGTGCAAGAATCGTGAAGTTAATGGCAAAATCGTTATTAACAATACACAAATTGACAGTAAAATCATGTGTCAGTGATACCGCGCATAACGTTGTCATATCGCTTTTAAGTGCCAGATTCGGACATTCAAATGCATAAATAAAGTCGTGGTATTTTTAAAATGTCTGCACGTATAGAAACATTTTTTTATGGCGTTCTTCATTAGAACATGGAGAATTAAAACAAGCAATCTTGCCTTCTTTGTGTTTGCAACTGTACATCTATCACATTATTCTACCAATGGTGCCTACATGCAACCAATGCAATTTTGTATTAAAACCAGTGGCGAACGCTAGGGAGTTTGGGGGGGGGGGATCGCCCTCCCAGTCATTTCTGAAAGCCCGTGAATGATAGCTGAACAACAGATTTCCAGTGGCCGGTTGTATAAAAGTCTTAATCACTTTTTAAATCACTATTTTGTGGTAAATAGTGATTAACTCTCAAATACGCGTTTCTTATTGGATGACGTTTCCACTAACTATAGTTAACTTTAATCACTTTTTTAGACAACCGGCCCCAGGTGGTAAAATATTGGAAACCTAAATCGCCCCCCCCCCCCCGATATTTCGCAAAGTGTCCGCCAGTGATCAAAACTTCATCTCGCTTTTTTTTCAGTGAGATGGTGACATGTTTTAATAAAATTGCAACTGATACTGAATGCAGGGCTGTAGTTTTATCTGGCGCTGGAAAAATTTTTACCGCAGGTAGTTGATAATTTGTTTTTGAACATTTACTGGATATATTATACCATCATTTTATCATCACCATTATGCCATACGGAATGCCTGGATAATATTGTAATTCAGTCAAGTATGCTCTCAAAATTTAGAGTAGACAAGAAAGCGTGACCTCGAAAAGTGCCTAGAAAACGAACACTTTCGAACACGCTGAGTTCAAATCCGAAAAGTTCCAACTCCGTAGACCCGCAGTTTTCTCACAAACTGCTATTTTATCTTCACTAATTTCACAGCAAATTTTTTCATTGTTCAACGACACGGATCGATGACGATACACGATTATGTCACTCAAAAGAACCAATTTCTATTAACCAGTCTTCCTTTTAACAAAAGACCGGTTTTGCTCGAATATGCAATGCAATCTTATGCGTGTTGGACGTAAACAACATATCTTGTCTTCAACTTTGAGAAGGTACAGATAATTCCTCTAATATCCTTAGTTCTGGATCTATCTCTATAAAATTACAAGGACGTTAATGTTAAGTCTTTGGGCTATGTCTCTGGGCTGAGAAATAATTGCTTACATGCGATAAAAATGTTTTATACAACGATGTAAAACGGTAATCTATATGTAATGGATCAGCATTTAAATTTCCAACACAGTTTCTGAGATGTAATTCAAGAGATAACTTCATAGACGGATTTTGTGTGGGGTGCAGGGGTCACAATATTAGCTATAACCCCCTCAAACAAAATGTCCACCCCTCCAAAAAATTTTCAACCCCCCCCCCCAATATTCGGCATAATAAAAAATAATTAAATAGTCCACTCCAACGTGCCGCAGAGTGTTGATGATACAAAATAAACGTAGGAGTACACTCAAATAGAAAAAGACAGTGCAATACTCTGAAACTAATCGCTCCTCGCTTGTATTCACTGGTTTATTGGAGCATTTGTAAAGTTTTGAAACTCTATTATCTCCCCTGAATAGAGTTTGCAGTGCCTTGTCATGCAAATAGCTGCTTGCAAGGAACGTTTGGAATTTTTACGAACATTATTATAGTTTTTAATTCTTTTAGGGCCTTTTAGGAAATAGTCTTGCCTAGATTTAATCTTTACGCCCCAAATATTTACAACGGAGTTGCATAAAAAATTGTACTCGGATTCAAACGACACAATGTCAATGACTTTATAAAAGTAAAAGCATATTGTGTATTGGTCTATTGGGTTTACACTTTTACTGGTTCATATAACTTTAACTCTCTCAAGTCTCAACAGACAATCGGACAGGCCAAATCCATTGATATGACAACTTCAAAAAACTTTTTTTCGAAGCTAGATATCATGATATTTTTCAAATTTTTTCAGGGATACTTTGTTTTCTGCTCTCTAGACTCCCCCTCGCGGCTCTAGTGCTCCACCCCTAGAATATAGACCTTACTGGGGTTTGGTGACACTTTGTGTTGCTTCAGTCACCTGCTCAGGGCTCACCCCCCCTAAAATTTCTGGCACCACCCCAGTAAAAAATATGAAAATCCGTCTATGGATAACTTATTGCATTTGAACTATTACATCAGTTGGTGTTATACTGTGCGATAAAAGCGAATATTATTGGAAAGAGGGCTTCCATATACGTTGAAATCACCAAATAAACAGCTCATGCATGCACACATTTCTCCACTTCGTCGTAAGTTTACAGAGCATATTTTATACTTTGGGGCTGAACTTTGTCTTTGATGTGAACATTTATTCTTATAGTTTAGGGTTATGTAAGATTGATCCTGTCGTAAGTGTTCTACCAGCAACCAATCGACAATATTTCATTTTAGCGTTGTCTTTGGACTTTGCCGTTACGTTGGTTTCGTGTTACGTTTGTTTTAAATGCCTTGATCGCGTTAAAAAAGTTATTTTTCAGGCCAGTGACATAGCCAAAAGACTTCTTATTATTTTCAGAGAGATATCTGTAGAACTGAGGATTTTATAGAAAGCGTTATCTGTACTTTCTCAAAGTTGTAGACAAGATATGTTGTTTACGTCCAACACGCATAAGATTGCATAACTCAAAATGATTCGAGCAAAACCGGTATTTTGTTAAAAGGAAGACTGGTTAATAGAAATTGGTCCTTTTGAGTGACATAATCGTGTATCGTCATCGATCCGTGTCATTGAACAATTGAGAAAACTGCGGGTCTACGGAGTGGGAACTCGGCGTGCTTGAAAGTGCTGGCCGTGGTCTTATCCTTGTTTGATCATGCACAACTTATTAATAATTACTTGTGCCTGATCACAGCACACTTGAGCCTGATCGCAAAAATATCTCATTACTGTACATGCATGGATGTGGGTTTGACTTATGTTACCGTTAAGTTCATTATTTTCAATATGTGCTATATGCATTGTAGTATATTTTGGCATTTTGCATGTTTCAGGATTAGACTTGATGGACATGGCCTCGGTGATTATGTCTCAACAAGACGATCAAGATGTTTCCAGAAGGGCTTACAATATGCGAAAAACAATATTACAATTTCAAGAATCATTTTCAGTGATAGAAAAATGTCCTCAGCCAGTGATAGCCGCCATTCATTCAGCTTGTGTTGGAGGTGGTGTAGACATGATCTGTGCGTGTGATATACGCTGGTGTACATCTGATGCTTGGTTTCAAGTAAAGGTGAACAATCAAAACTTTACAGTTTTAACGCCAATTATGTACTAATTACATCAGTAATATTGGCTATAGTTAAACCATCAAATTAACGTTTTGGACTTTGAACGTCATTTTAAAAAGGAATTTACTCGCCTCTGTGGAGGAGAGAGAAATTGTACCCTGCAGCACCTTACAATGTTGTTAGTTAGATATTAGTTAGATGTTGTTAATAGTTACATATATTTCAGAGAAAACTTTATTCAGCGAACGAGCAAAAAGCTAAAACGAATTTTAGTATTGCATCATTACGTTTTATTAATGTGATTGGTAATAAATTTCGTCTGTTTTATCTTTATGCAGGAAGTTGAACTTGGGCTAGCGGCAGATGTTGGAACATTACAGCGATTACCCAAGATTGTTGGAAATGAAAGGTCGACTAGTGTAGTTGTATTTTCAATTAGCCTTTCTCACGCCGCCATTTTTGGCGGCTTTTCAGCCGAAGTCTGCGAGATAAGTCCACATAATTTATCATTTTTTGGACGAATTATGGTAAATTTGCTTTGTAAAAGGTTAGTTTATTTTGAAAAATTGCTTTTCACAATGTTTTAATTGTCTGCATTGGTTAACGAGAATTAGATGCCACCCAAAAATTGCGGATATTCGTCATCGTGAGAAAGGCTAATTGGATTCAATTCTTTATTTGATTCAAAATTTTAAAATGGTCGATGTAGACATGATAATACACCCTCTTTTCTTTTTCAAAGTGTTTTGTTTTCTCTTTCAACACACGTTTAACACCGAAAGTGCTTTGTTTTCTCTTTCAACACACTTTCAACACACAAATTGTTTGTTTTCTCTTTCAACGCACTTTTAAGTAACACACAAACTGTTTTGTTTTCCCTTTCAACACACTTTTAACACACAAAGTGTTTTGTTTTCTCTTTCAACACGCTTTTAACGTGCAAAGTGTTTTGTTTTCTCTTTCAACACACTTTTAACACACAAATTGTTTTTTCTTTTTCAACACAATTTTAACACACGAAGTGTTTTGTTTTCTCTTCCAACACACTTTTAACGCACAAATTGTTTTGTTTTCTCTTTCAACGCACTTTTAAGTAACACACAAACTGTTTTGTTTCACTTTCAACACACTTTTAACACACAGTGTTTTGTTTTCTCTTTCAACACACTTTTAACGCACAAAGTGTTTTGTTTTCTCTTTCAACACACTTTTAAAACACAAAGTGTTTTGTTTTCTCTTTCAACACGATTTTAACGCACAAAGTGTTCTGTTTTCTCTTTCAACACACTTTTAACACACAAATTGTTTTGTTTTCTCTTTAAACACTTTTAACACACAAAATGTTTTTTTCTTTTTCAACACACTTTTAACACACAAAGTGTTTTGTTTTGTCTTTCAACAACACACTTTTAACACACAAATCGTTTTGTTTTCTCTTTCAACACACTTTCAGCACGCTATCAACACACAAAGAGTGTTGAAAGAGAAAAGAAAATGTATTATGTCTGAATCGACCATTTTAAAGTTATTGGATTCTTTCCTTGCTTCAACTAAGAACATTAGTGTTCTGTTTTCTCTTTCAACACACTTTTAACACACAAAGTGTTTTGTTTTCTCTTTCAACACGCTTTTAACACACAAAGTGTTTTGGTTTCTCTTTTAAATCAACACACATTTCTGTTTAAACACACTTTTAGCACGCTATCAACACAAAAAGCGTGTTGAAAGAGAAAAGAAAGTGTATTATGTCTGTATCGATCATCCCAAAGCTATCGGACTATTTCCTTGCTTCAAATAAGAACATTAGTGAGATTCATAATTTTCTACTGAAATGCCAACAGTGAGAAAATCTCATTCATTTTGAGCAGTCTACTTTTATTTCTTCATTTCCAACGCACCTATTCAGTACACAGTTAATCTAAGTGTAAGCTAATCACTGCTAATGTCGCTCAAATGTGTTTCAACTGACATATACCCAGGAAAAGTTGCTTCAACCAGAATGCATGCTTGACAAAAACGCGTCCATCTTTGGCCTTTATTTGTGTGATTTGTGCTAAGTTGTTCAGTAAAGTTAAGTAGAACTCTTCTCCACAAAGATGTCCATGTTTTAAACTCGATTAAAAAACTATAAATTCATATACGATTGAAAAACACGACATGTATTCTTTACAATCATTTATTTGTACAGACCTGGAAAACAGTGGGATCTCAGTATCCTGCATTCCTATAAGGAACATCTGCATAAGAAGATTGAGGAACATGTTAATTTTTGCACATGCACATAAGTTATGGGAGAATCTTAAGGATTGATTATTCCTTATCCATCATCTGAGATTGTGTTGTTCAACGTTACTATTTGGCGTAGTTGTACAGTCAAATTTTCCATTTTTTTACGCACTTTTGAGGAACATTTGAAAAATTCAGGTTCCGAGGAACATTAAACATTTTCCCCAGGTCTGTATAGTACAAGTTTGTTCTGGCCGTCGTCATTGCGTTGCCGTCGCTAGTGACCAGACGGCAACCGCCGACCCATTAAATGCCTGTGGAGATGACTTTGTCATCTGCACGCTCTTTAGATGAGCTTCCATTCTACCCTGAAACTAGGCTCAGATTCCAGCCGTTGTGTTCTCGCCACTCGCCCACTTAACGAGTGGCGAGAACACAACGGCTGGAATCTGAGCCTACCCTGAAACTAGTCTGATTCAAAATTATGTTTGTTATTCTTTCTTTATCCGCGCAGTTTGGTCAGAGAATTGTGTTATACAAGCCGGAAGTTGATGTCCGAAGAAGCTAAAAGCTTTGGTCTGGTCAGGTTAGTAAAGTGAACCATACGTAAACTTGAATGAACCCGCAACCTTCGCAAGAGACAACTTATTGGTGTATAACCTGTCTTGTAATTGTTATTTCGTTGCAGTCGTATATTTCAAGACCGAGAGAGTTTGATTGATAGTGCACTTGATTTAGCAAGTCATATTGCTAAAATGAGTCCAGTTGCTGTGAGTGGAACGAAACATAATTTGAACTACTCAAGAGATCACCCTGTTGACGAAAGTTTGGAGTATATAGTAAGTTCATTTCTTCTAGTGCTGTGTGTCAGTCAAATTTATTTAATGTTAATCATTGGTCACTAACGTTAAGGGATTTGGGAATGAAAAAAAACTAATATAGTTATAGTTTGCAATTTACAATTTATTAACCTCGCCTGCGGTACACGCTGTAGCCTGTAGTATACGTTTCGAGTGTGGCACGTTTTCCCAAACAGCTTTAAGTCGCATCTTAATTTCGCATCTTCCCTTTGAATTCAGAATATTAAGGAAATGAGCTTCGTATTAATGTTTCACCATTTTATCTATTCAGGCTAGTTGGAACATGAGCATGTTACAGACGGACGATATATTAAAAGCTGTTCAAGCTGGAATGAATAAAGAAGAACCAACTTTTTCAAAACTCTGAATTTATTAAAACATTTTTTTAAACACATTTACTGAATGTTAAATTAGAATCTTATTCGTGTATAAATATTTCTTTAAATGACATTAGTATATATATTCTTGCTATGAATTATAAATAGATATCATTATTTACACATATTCATAGGATCAACGCTTTTAGTGCCCCCTTAAGCCTAGTTTTTCGCATATATCGCAATTCATCGGCAAGCCTGAAATTGTGAAAATAAGCGGCCGGTCACGGACATTGTCCGTACCCGTAAAGGTCATTGTCCGGCACAATTGTTTTTTGCCGGACAGTTTGTCCGGCAGCATATTAATACAATATTGGTGAAACTGTCTACAACGTATTAATACAAGTCATGGTGAAACTGTCCACAACTAATGGTGAAACTGTCCACAACTCATGGTGAAACTGTCCACAACTGTTAAAAATTTCACTGCCTGTGAAACTACTGTGAAATTTATGATTCGATTCCGTATGATATACAGTAATTGACTAGTGGCTTAATTGTTGTTACTAAGCTTTTCATTGGCTTCTTTTATTTTAATCAGGGCCGTAGGTAGACCGATAATTGGGGGGGGGGGGTATATTCATATATTCGTGTTCTGCCCGACAGATTTCTTTTGAAAGCGATTGTTTTTACGGTATGTGAACATGAATATATGAATATACACACCCCCAATTATCGCTTCTAGCTACGGCCCTGATTTTAATGACCACGAAAAACTATATTTGCTCTATATTGCACTAACATTTTTTGTCAGGCACCATAATATTAAAAGTGAACTATAATCTTATTTCGTCTCTACAATGAATTTCCTTGTGTTGATATATATAGGTTAAAAGCCAAGGGAGAGGTTTTTATTAAACTGTGAAGACCGAGGGCCGAAGGCCCGAGGTCTTTACAGTTTAATAAAAACCGATACCCGCGGCTTTTAACTTGTTTATATACTCATCAGACCATATTCTTTTCAATTTTGGAGGTTTTCTTCATTAAAAATTCAAGCTATATTAATTCAATGAGAGGTCGCTGCAGTTGTGGGACGAAATAACTAGGTGTAACATGCGCATTAACACGCTTTAAAATGTGGTTAAGCATGCGCAGTATATCATTTCACGTCCCACAAGCAAAAGAGCAGATATTACTGTATAAATTCCCTGCACAAGCATGTTTGATGGTTGATCCAGCTAGTCCTCGTGCGCCGAATGATCAATATTCCACATTTAAATAATGGATGAACGAAGAATTGGTGCAGAAGAACGAGGAATGGATATAGAAGTGGGTGAGGAAAACGGAAGTGTTGGTGATAAAGTAAGGACGGTTGGAGATGAAGTAAGGAAGGTTGGAGACGAAGAAGGAGTGCCTGGCAGCGAAGAGCGAAACCCTGGCGGTGAAGGGAGCAGTCCTGGTGGCGAAAGGCAAAATCCCGGCGGTGACGACAACGCAGCGGAGGGTGGCGAACAGAGCCAAGAAATTGTGATTGAAAGAGCGGGAGAAGAAATGCAAACGGCTGGAAAATCGTGGCCAGATATTGTTAGTTCGCAGAATTTAAGTTAAGGAGTTGTTCCGTTACCACATGCTCGGTTTGGTGCTAAGGTCATCGATGCAGTGTTAAAATGTGTAAGACAAGATACAATTAAATGTGTGCAACAAGTTCCTGGACCTCGGTATCGTTTGACTTTTCGCTCGTTGGAATATAAACAATTATTTTTAGATCAACCGTTTTATTTGCGGGGTGAACGAGTTATTGCTCAAGAGCTTGATATGGCCACGTTACAAGCGAAAATTTTGTATGCCCCTAGTGAAATTTCTAATCAAACGATAGCTGCAACGTTGGCGAAGTATGGCAAAATAGTGAAGGTGGATCGGGAAATGTATCGTGATTGGCCTAATGTCGAAACTGGGGTTCGACTGGCAACAATGAGTGAATTAACTGAGGGGATTCCCCGTCGTCTCTTTATTGGCCCTTATCCGATAGAAACTAGATATCGTGGGCAAGTGCCTTTATGTGGTCGATGTGGCGAATATGGTCATCGAGTTGCTACATGTTCGAATGATGTAAAGTGTTTCAAGTGTGGTCAAAATGGTCACATACAACGTCAATGTTTCAAGTGTTTTCTATGTGGACAGTTTGGGCATGTCAGGGCAAATTTTCTCGAGAATCGACGTGACGTGTCCAATGACAGCGATGATGAAACGTCGGAAAGTAATTTGAGTAACGATATTGGTCGTGATGAAGACCGTAGCGTAGACTCTCGGTCGAATGATGAAGATATGGACCCTGTGGACTCGACAAGTTGTAAGGATCCAGGTGACATCAGAGATGAAGTCATGAACAAGATATATAATGATGTCAGCCAATCTTACTCAGCAGAACAAGGATCTGTTCAAACCGTCGAGAACAACAAAAGAAAAGCAGAAAAGGACGTTTCCATACCTGACGAAGGTGTTAAGGTTCCTGGAGACTCCACTGACCAACGTGTCAGTGACATGGGCAGCTCACCTGAAGAACGGACAAAA